CCACCCAAGCACCTCTACAAGTGATCCACTCAAAGGGTGAACTCAACAGGCACAAGAGCCCCTCTGAAGTAAATCCTTCTCCATGGGGTTGGCCCCTGCACAGCAGCTCCTCTGCTGCAGTCCTGGCCAGTCCCCAAAGCCAATTGACCTGAGGGTAAATCTGTCCCATTGACATGGCAATCAAGGCTCAACTACAACAGGTGGGTGGACACAGCCTACACAAGGTACGCACCTGAAGCAGCCAGTCTGGGTGACAGAGGAGGCTGGGTGTGCCACGGGGCCTACAGGACACTTACTGCATAAGGCCACTCTACCAAGGTTAGGAGACAAAGCAACTCTACCCAAACAGAAATATGTATAGGCAGGCAGCCAAAATGAGGAGACAAAGAAACGTCTCAAATGAAAGAACAGAACAAAACTCCAGAAAAAGAACTAAACAAAACGAGGACAAGCAATCTACCAGACAGAGTTCAAAACACTGGTTCTAAGGATGTGCAGTGAACTCAGGAGAAGAGTATATGAATTTAGTGAGAGCTTCAACAAAGAGATAGGAAACACAAAAATGGAGGTTGGAAACTTAAAGAACTAGTAGTAAATGAAGACACACTCTCTGAAATGAAGAACACCTTACAGGGCATCAACAGGACAGTGCATGAGAAGGGGATCAAACGAGGGGTTTGGAAAATAAGGGAGCAAAAGACACTCAATCAGAACAGCAAAAAGAAAAAGGAATCCCCCAAAATGAGGAGATTATAAGGAGCCTCTGGGGCAACTTCAAGCATACCAACATTTGCATCATGGGGATGAGGGAGAGAGAAGACTGAGAATAAGGAACGTGAAAACCTATTTGAAAAAATAATGACTGAAAACTTCCCTAACCTGGTGAGGGAAATAGACATACAAGTCCAGGAAGCACAGAGAGTCCCAAACAAGAGGAACCCAAAGAGGCCCACAGCAAGACACATCATAATTAAAATGCCAAAGGTTAAAGACAAAGAGAGAATCTTACAAGCAGCAAGAGAAGAGCACTTAGTTATCTATAAGGGAGCTCCCATGAGACTATAAACCTATTTCTCAACAGAAACTTTGCAGGCCAGAAGGGATTGACTAAATATTCAAGGTGATATAAAGCAAGGACCTACAACCAATATTACTGTACCTTGCAAATCTTTCATTTTGAATCAAAGGAGAGATAAAGAGCTTTCCAGACAAGAAAAAGCTAAAGAGGTTCACCACCACCAAACCAGTCTTACAAGAAATGTTAAAGGATCTTCTTTAAGAAGAAGAAAAAAGATAAAAAATATTAATAATAAAATGGCAGTAAATGCATATCTATTAATAACTACATTAAATGCAAATGAATTAAATGCATCAATCAAAAGACATACTGTGGTTAAGTGAATAACAAAACAAGACCTTTATTTGTGCTGCCTACAAGAGACTCACTTCAGATCAAAAGGCACACACAGACCGAAGGTAAAGAGATGGAAAAAAGATATTTCATGAAAGTGGGAACAAACAAAAAAAGTGGGGTAGCAATTCTTGTACCAGACAAAATTGACTTTAAAATAAAGTCTATAACAAGAGACAATGGAGGATGCAGCAATTCCACTTCTGGGTATTTATCCACAGAAACCCAAAACACTAAATCGAAAAGACATATGCATCCATATGTTCACTGCAGCATTATTTACAATAGCCAAGATATGGAAGCAACCTAGGTGTTCATCAATACAGGAATGGGTAAAGAAGAATGGTGCATATATACAATGAAATATGGCTCATCCTTAAAAGAAAAGAATGAATTCTTGCATCTGCAACAGCATGGATGGGCATAGTGGGTACTGTGCTGAGTGAAGTAGGTCAGACAGAGAAAGATAAAGGCCATAGGATTTCACTTCTATGTGGAATCTCAAAAGCAAAATAAATGAACAAGAAGACCAGAAACAGACTGAGATGCAGAGACTATTTTGACAGTTGACAGATGGGAGAGGGGTTGGGGGTCTGGGCGCAAAGGTTGAAGAGATTAAGAAGTACAATTTGATAGTTAAAGAATAGTTATGAGGTTGTAAAGTATAGCATAGGCAATATAGTCAATAATACTTTAATGACTATGTATGGTGTCAGATGGGTACTAGATGTATTGGGGTGATCACTTCATAAGTTATATAAATGCCTAATTACTGGGTTATATACCTGAAAGTAATATAACATTGTATGTCAACTGTAACTGAAAAATAAAAATTATTAAGAAATGCAAAATGATATTTCAATGTTTAATCGCTCTTGAAATAAAATACAAACTCCTTACTTAAGGCTTTCGAGGTCCTCTCATCACATATCCTTTCCTTCATGAGGCTCCAGTTCCAGGCCTCCTTTCTGGTCCAAGCAGAACAAGGACAAAGTAAAACAAGTGAGGTGCCTGTGGTGCAAAATGTAAGAGCCTACAGAACCCCGAAACGGAGTGCCTCTTATATTTTGCTCCCTTGGGGCCTCACCTGCCCCAGGCTTTTTTCCTGATTTAAGGCCTTGGCACTAGCCATCTCCTCTGCCAGGAAAGCTCTGCTCTCCCACTGTTTATGGCTGGCTCCTTCTTGTTGTTCATGACTCTACTCAAGTCCAACTACTCTAACACAATGATAATACTATTAGCTAATATTTATTTACCCTTTACATCGGGACTGGCCCTATTACAAGACCGTTCCTTTATTTAATCCTGGAAACAATTCTGTATGTTGGGTCCTATCATTATCTTCATTTGACAGATAAGGGAACTTATGCAGAAGAGGCTAAGTAAATTGCCCAAGGGCATACAACTACTGATAGTAAGTGATCTGGCCTGGAAACCACCTAAAGGGTTTGATCCCCAGAAACTGAGCACTTGTTGATTTCCTTTGGGTAACCTACGATGTGCAGTAGTCTTGCTTATTCACTTGCTTATTGTCTTTCTTCGTTAAAATATGAGCTCCATCCTGGCCGGTGTCGCTCAGTCGGCTGGCGCAGCATCCAGTATACCAAAGGTTGGGGCTTTGACTCTTGTCAGGGCACATGCCTAGGTTGAGGGTTTGATCCCCAGTCAGGAGGTATGGGAAGCAATGGATCAATGTTTCTCTTTCTCTCTCAAATCAGTAAAAACATATCCTCGACTGAGGGTTAAAAAAAGAAGTGAGCTCCAAGAGACAGCTTGGTTTGTCTTCAATGTTGTCTCCCCAAACCTAGTTGTGCCTGGCTGTGGCCAATTATCCATAACATTTACTGAAGGACAGCATTTAGAAGGACAGGCATGGCCCTAAAATAACCAAACTACCTAAAAATAGTTATCTGTGAAAATCTCTGAAGTAAATAACTTCAAACTCTTACATCAAAGATTTCTTAAGAAAAAAAATTGCAAAACTTTCAAAGAATAGTGCATGGTTACATTCCTTTTAAATCAGCTTGAGATACATAAATATGCGCGATTCTTGCTGGATCTGGTTTTTTGTGGTATTTCACGTAGAAGTTAGATGAAGAAAAGTGAGTCTGACTGCTTTCACCTGGAGTTGTTTGAATTATTTACTTGCTCTCTGAAAATTTAACTCATTTCTTCTTCCCAACTTTTTTGATCCACTGTCTCCCCTTCCTTTCCTGACGATTATTTCTTTTACTGCGTCTACACCATCTAGGTGGGCAAGTGTTTTGATGCTCTGAAGTTTCTGAATCTACGCAGAGACCTCAGATCACATGAAATTTAAAGGAAGGATTCTTCTGGCTCCTTCGTGAGCTCCCATTTGTTTGATGGCTTCTTGAATGCATGGGTGGTGCTCCTTAGGGATATATTCTGGCTAAGAGCAGTCCCTCTCCCAGGGTACACGTTTGACAGTGGCTCTGGACAGGGTAGGAGGCGGCGATTGAACGGGATGGGGGTGAAAGCATAGTCGTACTTGGCATAGAAATCACAATTCTGCTCCTGCTACAAGTGGGGCAATCCTTAAACAGCAAGAACTTCGTCAAACAAGTACCCTGCCAAACCCATCAGCTCCGCAAGGCGCAGGTTTTCATCTCTTACAGCCGTGGGGCTGCCTAGAGGGACGAGCGGCGCCGCGCCACCCGTGCCTGAGGGCGCAAGGCCCCAGCGGTCGCGCACCTCGCGCCTTCCCTCGCAGCCCGGGCTTGCGCAG